ATTCAAAAAATGAAGCTATGATTTTAGAAGAAATTGATCAACCATGTGGTATACTAAGAGTGTGGTACTGCATTGTAGAAGGACTCTGTACTGCAATTACTGGTACATCAGCTATATATCAAAGGCAAAGTCTTGAATTACTCTTAGACATATTACAGGCATTTCCTGAAATACCAGGTTAAAATTATTTTTGACGTAATAAATATACCTATGACTAAATAAACTGAAGTTAAAATTAAAGTTTATTTATTTATTATTTCATTAATATACCTATTAGTGTTTAAAAATTATAAATATTAATGAATAATAACTAATTACAGGTTACATATTTGGTTGTTTCTGCATAAACCGACTACTTCTTCCTACCATACAAACATGGGCAAGAAAGATTGTGTCTACACATGACCTTAAGGACTTACCAAATTTCAAACAGTTATGTGGAAATTCAACTGATCTAATTGTCAACTATCTAAAAATGAATAAGAATTATGAAATGAAACTTGAAAAAGAAATAACACTTATGTTGAAACAACTATTATTTGTATTAAATGAATTCTGTGTTCAGCCCTTAGAGAACATTGTCCGTTTAGGATGTGCATGTTTAAGACATTTTGTTTTGGGTGCTGGAGATAACTTCACTACAAGCCAATGGGATCTAATCAGCTTTAGCTTACACAGAGCTTGTGCTATTTCTTTATATCCACTGACCAGGGTATCAATGACATACAGTCCATTTTCAGATAGTTTTTATGGCGATTTAGCAGCTGGTATTAAAGTGGCTGCAAGAAGGGATAGTACAATAGATGACAATTTGCATTTAAAACAATTATCTCAACAGGTAGTTGCTTTTTATAAAAAAAAAAAATGTATTTTCAAACAATCTTAAATTTAAATTCTAGTATTTTGATTATAAAATAAATTTTTGTAACATATATTAAGGGTACTTTATAGTTTAAATGTATTGTACCTATTTGAATAAGATGGTAAAATAATAAGCAAGCAAATAAATAATAAAAAATTATTTATGTGCATTCATAACAATACTGCTACTGTAATATACCCTATAATTTTAATGCAGTATAATTAGATATGAATTGCAGTATTAATACATTTCTTAAAATCATTTAAATACAATTGTCAACTTAAATTTTTCTAAATATTTAGTAAAATTTAATGGTATAAGGACTGCTTAGTTAAATGTTGTTAGTATTTAGTAACAGGAAATTTTTTTAACTTTAGTTGTGACTAATGAATCATTTACAATTACTGGTCTTTAAAAAATGAAAATTAATTAAAATGTTTATCATGATATTTCAGGTATTTTTGTTAGATCACCAAAGAGTTAAAAGTGATACAATTGTTGATGATGAAAGAAGTTTTATATTTTTATTATGTCATCACTGGTGTAATTTGGAAATTGACAACCAATGGCAGCAATCACCAGAACGTGTTCCTTACAAAAATATAGTCCTTGGATTATTTGTAAATGAAATGCTATTACAAATGATTGGAAATGTGTTGGTAAAGGGTACCAACAAAGCTATACCAAGGTATTTTTTTATAAATATGTGAACCAAAATAATTTGTTTTTGATTATAATTATTATTTATTTTCTTCAGCTTAGCCAATATCCTTCTACAATCTTCTCTGATGACTCCCATGGACGAGCAATCGTTCAAATTACAGAAACAAAATGTTATGCCTGGATATTTGTCCTCACTCACTGAATTTCAGATTCATACCTTTATCTCGTGTTTAAATATGACATACGGTATATCTTGGGAATTTGATTCAAGGCCTGGTCTAAAATTTCTTATTCAAAAAGTCGCTGGTTTAGAGAAAGCAGCTAATTTATATAAGCAGGCTGGAGGAGCTTGGACACTCTCATTGGTTGCACTTTTTGAAATATGTATCAATCGCATGTCTCTCTTGAGTTCTGATCAGATTAAACTTATTGTTGAAAAAACATCTCCCACTAATGATACTGAAAGTTTTATACTTGAACTCAAACGTATATTTGATGATGCCTGCCAAAAATATGTTGAAATAGTTATGGATAAAAGCGGTACACATTGTGCTGTTGATAGGGCAGGAGATAAACCAGTGTTCTTTTTTGTTGCACAAAATGATGATATTTTTGAAACAACTGAAGAAAAACCTGCCGCCTTTAAGTTTGAAGATTTTAAAAAGATATATCCAAACGCACCATTAACATCAAAAAGTGAAGATAGTGGAAGTGATGATGACGATGATGCTGTGTATGCTATAGCAAGTTGTAAAAATTTAGATAATCTAATAGAAGAATATAAAAAAAGGAAACATGCAAACGCTATGCCAGGGCAGCCTGATTCTATTGAAAAAAGTGAAGAAAATTTACCACCAGAAGTCGAAGAACAGAGGCAGACTAGTATGAACAAGGTATGTTTATTTATTCAAAAATGTTAAATTACTTAATATTATACCAATGATACAAATATGTAACAATTAATTTATAGGACAGTGAAGTGCATGAGTCAGTATGGTCAGAAATGTTGATTTCAGTTTTTGATTTATTGACGCAACTGGATGATGACTCGTTCAAGTTATTATTACCAGTTTTATTCAATGGTGTAAGAGTTTTAACGGAATCGGCAACTAGGCCTCTGTTGAAACGTGTTCTTGGGGAATTTTACCAAAGGGTAGCTTTCATTTATGGATTTGGTCCATAAACTTCATATCAAACATTTATTTGTCAAGCTGATGTGTTTCAGTAAGTTTAAGAACTACTGATTTTTATTGTAAATCATTTAGTGTCAGAGACTGAATGTTTCTTTTTATTTATAAAGTAATATATATCAGATATCTTCAACCAATAAAAATATTTATTAAATTATTTTTTATAAATTAAATCTGCAAAACTTTTAATATCTATACTTATATAGTATGATTTTTAATTTTTTTTAAAGTTAATTTATTCTATTGAATATTGATACTTACGTATTATTTATGTGTTACCTATATTGGCTATATTATATATTATTTTGAGAAATGATACAGATATTATAGATAATTTACTTGATAAATCCTTAAAAATAACTATTTAATTATCTTTTTAAATCCTTAAAATATTGTTACATATTATTATGCAATATTAATAACCATTATGCGATAAATAAACTTTTCCATTCTTGTTTATTATTATCCTAGCACCATACAGTTTAACATTTATCACCATGTCAACTGGTAATCATCTATTGTACCTCAAATATTTTTTACATTTGCAACTACTTTAAAATAATATTAAATTGTTGACAATTAATAGGAGTATAATTAATAATTATTATTTTATAATTAACATATAAATAAACTGAATACAATAAGATAATTTCTGCAATCATAAAGATAATAACATTTGTATATGTTACAAATTTTGTTTGTTATAAGTTTATTGGTATATTTTTATTCTAAAAATTGAATCGTTTATATTAAACTTTGTGAAGAATAACTTAGAATTAATTTTTGCAATATATTATTAACATTTGTAAGAAAGATAATTATACCTACAACATAGTGACAACCCAACAAAATTCCAACATAACTAAATAATATTATTATAAAATACAATTTAAAAATGTATAAAAATTATGATTTTTTATAAATATATCACATACTAAACTTACACAAAATGTAAAAGATACAGATAAACATTAAATTTTTAGAAATGACTGCTGATTCAAGGTTGCTTAGTGGTGAGAATGTGAGGTGATACATTAATGTGGCTCAGTGAGCGTAGCAATAACAAATACCAATATTTTTCATTCAATAGAATTATAAATATTACTCATACTAATACTTCTTTATTTTGATACAAAAATTAATAAATGTAATTGACATCCATATTTTTTAACTCATAAAATTTATCTGTTTATTTGTATTTGTTTTTAACTATAAAATAAAATACAATTTTTTCTCTTTCAAATAATGATTATATTAAACTAACAAAACCAATAACTTATCTTATAAAAAAATATCTAAACTATATGGTACCATAATAGTCCATAATATACAAAACCACAAGTCTATTGAATACTTTTATAGCATATTAAGTACAGATCAATGTATTTGTACTGTTTGTACCAATATATATCATACTTTTCTTACACAAAAAACATTTTTTTTTTCATTATGTCTAGTATATGATGTTATATATTTGTATATTGTATCTATTCAGATGTATATTGATATACCTAACCTAACCCAAGAAAGATTATAAATTATAATATAAGGACATTTTTTTCAATTAAATGTCCTCAAATGTGATCAATTAAACAAAAATAACATAGTATCTTGGGGAAAAGCTGCATAGTGATGTCAAACTCAAAATTTGTTTGTGAAGCGAAATCTAGAATATTTTACCTAACCCAAATTTTTCAGCCATCTAAATAATTAATATGATATAAAAATCCACTCAATGTATAGAAAACCGGAAATGATTTTGTTAACCCATTAACTACAACTCCTAACCTAACCTAACCTAACACTTATATCCACCCACCTATTTAAGAAGTGAAGTGATTCCTTCACATAAAATGAGTTCAGCGCCACTGAACTACTGAAGCTACATAGTAGTACATATTGAAATCAATCGATGTACTTCTGTCTTCTTAAACATAGAAATGTATAATGTCACAGTATATACTACATAATATATTAAATTATATTATAAACTTATACTATAATCCTTGTTTAAAATTATGTTTTTTTTGACATGAAAATTACTGACTATTAGTTTTCCCACTAGAAGAGTTACTGAAGTTGAAAATAAGTTAAATTAAATTTTTAATGAAAAATACACGTAGCAAAATCAATACATTCGTTACAGTAGAATTGTAGAATACGATTGTTTTTTATAAATAAATAAAATGGTTTTTTTCCTAAATTCAACAATGGAAATTCTGAATTCCAACTTACTAAATAATAAATAGTTAATATCAGTAATATCACAATTCACAAAGTAAAATTTACTTTATTAATAGTTGATAATAATTATAGATGAATGGTAAATTTGTAATTTGGATTTGCCTGATTTGGACTTTGGAGTTTTGGACTCCTTGGATTTGGAGGTAGTTCTCGGCGTTCTCGCTGTGAACGTGGTAACGCTTATCGCTTCTACGCATGCGCCTAAATTATACTTATACCAGACTGAATGATTGTGCATGGTTAACAGCGTAAAATGTAAATACGCAATTATTATATTATCATGTCACGGTGTTAATGAATATTTCTTACAAGTTTCAAAGAAATTATGAACTAACTTGTCTCATAAATTAGTATATAGTGTGTTGTTTTAGATTTCAACGTTATTATTGCTTTGTTAAATTGACCTTTTATAATAACAATATACATCAAACATCAACGTCACTGTAATAAACTAATGATATTAGTCGTCATCGCACCACCCAACCCCGCCGGCCATATATTATTCTCATTGGTCCGTTGCCCAACCGACAAATACCAATACAATGTTGTACCGGATTTTGGTTAACCTTGCTTAACCAAAATGGTTAACAACTACATCCTAATCGTCGAGTCAATAATGGCGGTACAGACATTCATCTGACGTCGGTAACGAAACACAACTGTCGTTCTATTATCCGCGTTGTAGTGGTCACTGATTCAATAACATTTCTGAAGTTACTAACGCGTTTAGGCGGTACATTTTAAAAATTCAGGTACATATTTTCCTATTTTCTTATGAATCAAATTATTCAAATTGTATAGACATTGATTTTTTACTCTTAAAATGATTTGATATGTTGATTGTTAGTGCCAGTTCCGGTGGTCGTGGTCGTTGGCAAGTTGTCTTCCCGAACTATATCACGACAACGATTATCGAAACAGTAAGTTCGTAGGTTCAATCAATATAATATTATGTCCGTCGATGTTTGTCAATATATCAATATAATTTTGGGAACTTACAATTTTTTAGATGTATTTTATTTCAAAATTTGACTCGACTAATTTTGTTTCAGCGTTTTCATGGAGAGCGTCCCATGCCCACTTTGTTGTGAAGATAGGTTCTCCAACCAAGACTTGTTGAAATATCATTTGTTAAGTTTGACCACAAATATCCTGTGCCCCTTCTGTGGAAAACAGTGCGATGATATCAACTCATTGGTCGTGCATTTGGATAAAATTTGCACCGAAAAAGAAGATGAAGTTAATAAATCCGTGCAAGACAACAATGAAATGATCGTCGTATATCCAGATGGTAAGTCAAGTGTTCAAATATTGTACAACTGATTTTTTTTTTTTTTACTAGATGATGAACCTGAACCGGAACCAGAAAATGAAATCGGAGAATTCGATAATCTTGTGGGTGAAGAGGATTATCAGAATGATGAACGGCAAACTGATACTGATGCAGAAACTGGAGTTAAGAAATTTATTGAAGAATTTACTATTGATGACCCAAATAGAATATTGCGACCACCAGAAACGACAGAAACAGAAATTTCCAAAGAACCACATCCTTATCATTGTTCTGAATGCAATATACATTTTCCATCAATTCAGGAACATATCAATAATTGTCACAAAGGCCAAGAAGTTGTGTTTCAGGTTGGTTTTTCAAAAAAAATAATTTGTTTATTATTAAACATATTGTATATTATTATGTGTAGGTAATTGAAGATAATGACCAAAATAATGCACTAAAGGACAGTCCTGATACCACTGGCGAACAGATTCCTCAGATAGGAACTTGGATTAAATGGGGCAACGGCTACTTTTATACAAACAATAAAGATGTAGCAATGAAACATTTAGCTGATATTAAGTCAGAAGAAACAACAACTCTAGAAACTATTCCTGACGATTTTGTTAAATCAAAAGATGAAAATATAAAAACCAAAAGCAATGTGCATCAAAATTATACCAGCATATTATCTTCCAATATTTATTCAAATCATTGCATCACGGATTCATATGGTGATCGATATTTTGATGTTCCTGTTTATTTACTTAATCAAGTTTCTGAGAAGGTTAATGATTACTTCCAAGTCGAAGCTCGTAAATTGAGTTTCAAGAAACGAATCCGTCTGATACGATTAAAATCTAATGATGATGTATTTGATATTGAGCAAATATTATTTCAAAATAAACCAACTAATTCCAACATTATTCCAATATTAGAAATAGCAGTTGAATGTAATGAATACTCTCAATTAGACAACTTGGAGAATTGTTTTTTGTTAACTTGGAAATGTATAGCATGTAATGTAAAATCTGACCATTGGTCTAAGTTAAATAAACATAACTGCACAGAAGATGATGCAATGGCGCTCAAGTCTAAAAAAAATAATGATTGTAAAAGTCCAGCCATCCGAAATAATAGTCGCACAATTCCTAATGTTCGATCAAAGCATATTTGTCCACATTGTGGTGGGGAATTTGATTCAGAAGGTTACTTAAGAACACATCTCATGGTACATGTAAATGATTCAAATAAATGTCTATTTTGTGATCAACCAGTAGCACCTGAGATGATGGAAACACATTTAATTGCTCATCAAAATCCAGAATTTTCTAACCTAAAATTTCTATGCAAGTATGACTTAATCTTAATGTATATAGCTTTATTTTGAATTATTTACCTTTAATTATTTTAGTGTATGCAATAAATGTTATGATTCGGAATTTCGTCTCCGGTGTCATCAAAGAGCACATGAAATGCGGCGTAAACCTCGTGAAATATTAGTTTGTGATGTTTGCAATGCCCAATTTAATGATAAAAACTCTTTGAAACATCATGCCATTACTCATATTGAACCCCCTGAACGTTTACGCCGATTACATGAATGCCGTTTTTGTGGAAAAACTTTTGTTAAACCTATCGAGAAAGTAATTTTATTGTGTTTTCCATTTTTTGAACCAAACATTTTTTAATATAACATATTTTAGGTTAACCATGAAAGGGTGCACACAGGTGAGAAACCTTTTGCTTGTCCAGTATGTGGTCGTTGTTTCAGGCTCAAAGATCTCGTACAAAAACATATGCGTGTACATACCAAAGAACGCCCTTATAAATGCCGTCATGAAGGTTGTGATAAGACGTTCAGTGCATCAAGCAGTAGAGTCAATCATGAACAAGGTCATTCTGGTATCAAGCAATTTAAATGTTTTTACTGCCCTAGATATTTTAAGAATTGGGTAAGCCATACTTAGTACTTACATCAAATATTATATACGTTTATAATTATTTATTGTATATTTGTTTGTGTTCATTAAAGGTGTCGAGAAGTAATCATGTCCAAGAGCATATGGTTAAGCACAAATGTGACATTTGTGATCGTTCATTTGTGTCATTTTGTAATTATAAGAAACATTTGAAAATGCACGCAGATGGTAGGCTCAAATTCAGTTGTGTACTATGCCGTCAAGCATTTGGAAGACAACTGTTTTTAGATAATCATCTGAGTAGAGAACATGAAATGAAATCAAATAAAGAAGAAAATATAACTGAATAGTTTTTAATTTTATATAAAAAATATAAAATTTTAGTGTAATCAATTTAACATAATAATTTGTTCAACAAGGCTGTTTTACAAATAAAAAATAAATATTTTATTAATTAAACTGAAATAGTTATTAAAAGGTTTTTACAGTTATACATTTGTTGAAACTTATTGACAAGTAATAATACATTTGGAAAAAGTTATGGTCGATCTTCTTAAATACTCTTTATAATGTATTAGATGTGACGTTAAACATATTTATAAAATCAAAATGTCCCTAACTAAAAGGTCAGTATAATAATAATTAATAAACCTTAAATACTAAACAATTAAGGATTGGATTACTTGTGTTACTTAACAAACATAGATTTCCTGTTCCAACAAGTCAAGCGCATGCGTTCGCTGATTAGTTTATAATGGAAATTCAACATTTTGACTTAGCCTCTTCAAAGTATAGCACATTATGCATGCTAGGCATATATAGTAGATTTTAAATGGTTACCGAACATAACAAGATACTGACTCTTCTGAACTATCTGTGAAACTTATGTCTGAATCATCGTGGTATGGCCTTGTCACAGAATCTATAAGTTATAGTTAAATTATTACATTTGACATCAATAACATAAAAATAAAAAAAATAGCACTCAATAATAATTAAAACAGACTATAATATTTTAATTATAGCTGATAAATTAGAATACATGAATAAAAATTGTTGACTTAAAAACTTGACAAACAGGCATTGAGCAGACTTTGTCCGCAGGGGGGATATTTAAAAAGGTCAAACAATTACCAAAGATTCTTGTACTAATTACTACTAGTATGATGAAATATTAAATTGTAAATTTTATAACTTAAACAATTTATTTAATTCAATATACAACTATGAAAATTATGTAATATAGTATAGATATCAGATATCTATGCATTTATTAAAGAAAAAGTCAGAGGTTGCAACCTACCACCCCATTACGCTTTACCACGCCTATGTTGACAAACATGTGAGTATGATCAAGTATGTGAAAATAGGTAATAAATATATCAGTTAAACCTTTGCTGCATAAGTGCATGCATTGTTTGACAAAAATAAAAAAAGTGCTTTACTTAAATGTATTATAGTAGACTGCAATAAAAGATAAGTATTGCTGAACACATCAGTGGTTTCAATTGGAATGTTATAATATTAAATCGATACTTCAAAATTATTTAAAATTAACAATAATTCACTTCTAAACAATATAATAATTTATACACCGGTTTAGAGATTTTTAAAATTACATGGTAACTATTAGTAAATTCATAATTTAAAGTTTAGGGAATTTTTGGTTATTAAATTTATACCAAAATATATTAGTTGTAAACTCTTGAAAGTCATCTGATATCCATATTCTCAAATGATATATTGTAGAACTTTTGGGACACAATTCAGTGTCACTCGAAATTTTGCTTATAAAAAAATATAGATGCAATACTGTTTGTTGTTCAGTTTAAAATTCTATGTAAGTTATATTTAATTACAAAAAAAGTAAATAAATAAATGATTAGCTTAAGAGTATAAAATAAGAACAAATATTTTATTACAAAGTATTAGTCTCTCAATACTTCAATAGATATATTTCAGATTCTTAACATAAATAGTGCACCAAGGCATATTAATATATATTTATATGTATATATTTTTTTTTATTAAGGGGAGCCCGCAACAACATAGGCCATTGAGTGTGGGATGGTATAGTAGAGGTTATTTTTGTATATTTTAAGTTGGTAGGTTTGTAACACGTGTTAATGTATCAAGGATATGTTGCTAAAAATTCTGGGTGGTTACCCATCCGGGACCATTGGGACCAAGCAACTGTGGCCAGTACATACGTTCAATGCTTTTCCGCAGACTGAGCGAATGACCGTGCCTTACCAAGTATATTCTAAATACTACGTTTATTTTTCAATAAAATAAAATAAAATGCATTTTAACCCAGAGGCCGCCTGGACTATATTTAAATATTTACTATTAGACTTACCATTAATGATTGGATTGCGAAATAGTTCCACTTCATCATCGTCATCAAAAAGATAAGGTTTTTGTGGCAGCAATGCAAAACCATTTCTATAGGCAAATGACGACGGTCTTCCTGTTTTCCATCGAAGGTAGAAATGATACCAACTTACTCCAATAACAGAGATTATAAAAACTAAAAACAAAAAATAAGTTTGACATTTTTGTCAGAAAAAATTATATTTTTTGTTTTCAGCTACCTGTAAGGACTATAAACATCAACCTTGGCATATTTAAAACTCTCTCATCTTTTATTAATTTGAAAATAACTGTCTGAGGTTTGTTGTCTTGAATATTTATTGATTTTGTGGAAGTGTAATATCCATGGGCATTTACTCGTATTGTTCTGATACCTTTATAATAAAATGAAATATAATTAATAGTGATGGGCTACAATATACTTTTGTCAATATTTAAAATGTGTTACAATATCGATATTGTATCGCATTATTGATATTGTTGTCCATCACTATTTGTTGACCTTAATTAAATTTATGTATAAATAACAATAAATTCACCTTCTCCGACTGACAATTTATAAGTTCCATTATGATAACTAGTGGCTACCGAAGAAGATGAATCGTCAGTTATGGTCGCACCCTCTATTGGTCTGTTTTCAATATCCATCACAGAACCTAACTCAATACAGTTCATAATATTAGAAAATGTATGTATAATGCTAGTTAAATTTCAAAAAATATTACTTACCCTTTATCAATGAATTTAATTCTAGAGTAACAGAACCATGGCCAACATGAGACATGACAACTTTGATATTGGTAATAATTCCACGGTGCACACTTATTGGTATACTTTTCGTCAAATATCCAGTTGCCTTGACCTGAATAAACACAAGTGAACATTTGATCATATTTCCTTAGTCTGAAATAACTTAGATAACTCACATGAATGTAATATAAACCTATTGGTAAGTGTGCCTTAAAAACAGCTGAATTAGGAGTGACTGTGTAAATGTCAGCAAACATATCTATTGTTACAATTGCATTCCGGATAGGTTTGCCTAATCTGTCTACAACTGATCCTTGAACACCTTGAATGTTTTCTATGATGACTTTGAGCATGTGAAAACTCTCCATCCAAACGAACACTGTTTCTAATGGATCTATGTAGTTACAGCAGGTTAAACTTAAAGCCATCTAAAATAATCAAATTCTTAATTTTTTTTTTTACATTAAGGGTAATCAATACCGTGATTCTATGTCTTTGTCCAACACAATTGCGACAGAGGATTTTGGCTATTGTTGTGATTGATCTAATGAAGCAATAAGAATTTTAGGAACAGATTTGAATTTGTCATCAATAACTATATGAAATTGACTTTCCCGCATCTCGCCATCAAATTCCTAAAAACGTTATATTGAAAAAGAGTAATAAAAAAATTGTCATATTTCAATTTTTGGGGAAGTTAAAATCAAAAATCAAAATCTAGGAAAGTCAAAATGAAGTTGTCTGTGTTCTTGACAACAAATTCAAATTTATATTCAGAATTCTGATCGCTTCAACACTTAACCTTATTAATTGGTATGTTTATAGTAAAGTCTTAAATGTCTTAAAATTTTGTCACGCTTGTGTTAGAAAAATACAAAATTATGGTATTAAATCCCTTCCTTTAGACATAAAAAGACATCCAATTTGTTGTCTTTGTCTTACATATGTTTAACATGACAAATCTGTGTTACATAGAATCAATTTTGTTTTATTCAATTTTATATTACAGTGAATTAATCTAATATAAAATTTAAAGGAAATTTTAAGAATTATGAATTTCTTCAATACATACGGTAGAAAAAAAATGTTGTTAAAACTGCAATTTGTAAAATATTAAAATATTGTCAAAAGTTCAAACTTTGAACAATAGCTTTAATGGTTCTCTAGAAGAAAAGCGAACATTTTTATTTTTACAGCATTATTCATTAAAATTGAACTATTCTAAGTTTTGCTATCTCGTCACAGCGGAAGATTTAAAATCACTTTTAATTTGTTTTTGACTGACCGACTGGAACCATCTTAATTCAACATAAAACTGATTCTATTGAACCCAGATTTGTAGAGTTGTAAGTTTGTGGACGCAAAACCACATATGCAGATTTTACGTTCACTTAAGTTATGACTTGTATAAAAATATACATTTTATACGTACAGTTTTAATTTTTAATACATTATTGAATGTATCCAACACGTTTTGTTTAACATCATTGATTTTACGATCTAATGGCTCACCGCAAGTCTTAACATGATAAATAAAAATATTAATATATAATTAAAAATATTACATTTTTAAAATTATAATATTTTACAAAATAAGATACTTACATTTTTTAAGTTACTATAAAATAACTCTTCATAATCCTGGAGTATTATGGAAATTGTGTTCCTTGGATGAATTGTTGGACCCCTATAAAATAATAAATATAGAGAACATTAAGTAAAAGTTACATACCTATATAACACATAATACAATTTAAACAAACATTTACACTAACTTTATTGAAATAGATCCACCTTCCAGACTGAACATCATATCAAACTGTTCTCGTTGTAACATTTTCCAAAGGTTATTAGTGATCTTCTGCTCATCTTGTTGGTTAGTGGCTATCAATAGTGGTGCGGTAACAACTGCTTGATCATCAGTCGAACATGTCTTTTCATAAAAATTCTCATTTTGTTCGAAGTAGGGTATAAAATGTAATACGACTTTTGATAAAAACGAAACTATGTGCTTGTCTTTTTTTCTGTAACCCTCGACATAATGTCTAGCCAAAAACAATAACATCTCCCGAGTAGCAGGTTCGTTGACGTACAGCCCACCCAAAATGGCAATTTTGAACTTGAATTCATCAGGCGACCCCACCTACATATGGACAAAAAGTATGAACGTATTATATCACGTATTGCCACTATCAATTGCATCATTTACATTTTCAGTAACTTTAAACTGAATTATTGAACTTTCCACTGAACCGCTGTCTAAAGAACTA